CGCACACCTCGGTCCGGAAGTAGGTCCGAAGGCGGGTCTTTGGAGACGACCACTTGAAATTCCTTTACCAAGGGATAGTACGGATCCAAGGGATTCCGTAGGATCGACGATCCACTCCGTTCAGCACTCTCTTGGTGTCTTCCGAGACAGATTCATCCAGAAGCGATGACGAGTTTATCTCCTCGTCCGGTCGTACAATGACCACTTCGGCCAAATTGCCTGTCTTCAAGGCACTGCCGAACGCTTCAAGGGACATCTCGTCCAGCCAAAGAAGAGCATCTACTGCAGGCATAGCCTCGAGGCGGACGTCGCCATCTTCCTCCCTTGTCATACCGTTGACGAGGGTGTATAACTGTGACCGTCGTCTACGGTAGATTCACCCTGGATCAGAGTCGACGCCAGGCGTCTTGAAAACCGCATACGGCGTCGCCGTCGCCTCTGTACAGAGGTTCAATGTCTCGCTGAGACCAGGGTGAACACGCAATCCGCGTCTGTCACCCTCACTTTCTGCTCATTTGGAGCTTTGATGTTATCTACAACATCCGACGAAGAACTCCTAACCCCACACTCTTCTTTTTAGTGGATAACGTGCCACTACACCTGCATCTGAAGGGCCGAGCCCAAGATGCCTCGGACTCTGTCCGACCACGCCATCAATGGAATGCAGCGACTGCTTTGCAACGAATGCAGTGCTCTGTGGTTTTCGTGCCACTCCACGCGCATCACGAGGGCTCACCCTCGATGGTTCGGCCCTCGGCCGACCATGTCACACATGACATGCAGCGACTGCTTTGAAACTTGTGCAGCGCTCAGTGGTTTACGTGCCACTTCACGAGCATCACGAAGGCCTCCCTATTGATGCCTCGTCCCTCGGCCGATCATGTCACGCATGACATGCAGCGACTGCTCCAAAACTTGAGCATCGCTCAGTGAGTACGTGCCACTCGACGATCAGCCCGCGAGCTACGCTCGGGACTCCTGTCCATTGCACCGTTGGTGTCTACCAACTCGGACATTCCAATGTCTAGCACGTTGACCGTCTCGGACCAGTGTTCTCGCTTATAGTACTTTTGTCTCCTAGCAGAGGTGGGTTCATGACTCGCCAAAACTCCACCAGGAGACATGCGCGTAGCGCCCAAGGTCTTTGGCCTCTAATCAATCCATGGCTCGTGGTGTTCCAACCATGCCATTCCTAGGATGAGGTCATACCTTGCATTCAAGTCTAAGACTAGACAGTGTTCTACGCTATCAAATTCAAGAAACTTGACTTCGAGGTCCACAGAGACCTTCGGGACCATGACATGCGTCCCCGTCGCTAAGCGAACAGTGACGATGTCACCCAAGCGCGCTTTCAGCGCCTCAGTATACAGCAGACTTTCCTCCATTGTGGAGCGTCGATTATAATTGCCCGACACCCCAGAATCGATGAGGATCTCCCATGGCTTCTCGAAGCCGTTTCGGTCGCCTCCACGACTACCAAGCCCGGCTTGCACACACGTTTCGTTTTTAAATAACACGGAGATCTTCGGGGCTTGGCCCTGTTAACCTATGCCTCCCTGAGGCTCAACAGAACTCAGTTCTTCCCCTATAGGGCGCCCCGCGCCTACTGAGGGGTGTCGTTTCCCCGCGATGAACCAGATTGATAGGCATTGGGGCGATGGTTCGAAGAATCTTGATGCGCCTTGCGCAGGGGGCAACCGTTCCGAACGTGACGAGTGTCTCCACAGACAAAAACCGTCGAATATGTGTATGCTGCCCGGTAGCTCGAAGCTCTGCTCCCCCATCCTCAGCATAGCTGAGATCTATGGGCAGAGGCCCGCTCAACGAGCTGTTTGAGTTTGCAATCCAACCAAGTCGTACCTACTTGAAATCAAACTCGGCATATAATGCAACATTCACCGCCTCTTCCGAAGCGGATTGATGTACACGGAAGACTTCCATTCTGGCCACGCCAGTGCGAAGGCCTTCCATAAACATAGCCACTGTAACCGCCTCCGGGAGGATTTGCTGCTATCCCGGCAAGGTGAGTTGGCAACTCTTCGACAAAGTCCACCAATTCCTTGTTGCCCTGTAGGGCGCCGAAGAAACGCGATCGCACGCGATACGCCTGATTGAGCGGCGAGAACAATCGTGAGAGCTGCAATTTCAGGTTCTGCCCGGAAGGGAAACGCAGCTTCGACTGAAGTGCCGCACGTCAGTGCCCATTCTCGCGCTCGACAACCGAGCTTTGAGATGGCTAGCGCCACGCGCTGTTGCTCGGTCTGGAGCATGGCGGAT